GGAGTTGCTGGTAAAAAATGATCGCTCCACTCAAGGATCATTTACCTAGCATGAAGCTATGACATTATTGTCATAAGTTTTCCTTTTACATTTATAACACATATAAATGATGAAAGTTACATAAAAACTGAACTAAAAAAAGATTTAAATTATCAGTTTTAACTTCAATTCAAACTAAATATAACTGGATAAAGTAATCAAATATTAATCACCAAAACTGAAAACAGTGCATTAAAATCTCTCATTGATGAATCTCTAAACTTAACAGCCTAACGGCAATAGAATTATTATTTCACAAATCACAAAAGTAATTTTAATTTTCTTTCCATCTTAGAAATTGTCTAAAATAGATGACTTAAAAGATTTATCAATATATAAAAATAACAAAAAATAAAACAAGTTCTCAAATGTGTTTGCAGGAGCATGCCACACAATGAATGGTATGTAAATATGACAGTCAATGAATAAAGTTTATCAATTTCAATGTTAAAATACATTAATGGAAAAGGTTAGAATAAAAGTTTATGATAGAAGTGTGACTATAAATAAGCATACTATGTAGCTGTTAGAAAAGATGAAGTCATGAAATTTACATACAAGTGGTACTACATGGAAAGTATCTTGTTAAGCAAAATGAGTCAGAAAGAGAGGGATAGACATAGAAAGATTGCATTCATCTGGGGAACAGAAAGTAACAAAATAGGAGACAAACACTCAAGAATGGACGAGATTAGTACGAGGAATTTTGGTCCATGGCTTAGAGGTCAGCCATACATGCTAGGGGAAAAGGGAACTCAGATAGAGAAGGGAGCACCAAATAAAGGGTGTTGAGAGGATCCTCCCAGGATGGGAGAAGCATGCTGAAAGTAGACTATAGACCAAACATGATTGCCACTCATTGCCTCTTTTGCAAACCACAACACCCAAAAGGAGAGAAAGAAAAAAAGGGAATTCCCTGCCACAGAGGCAGGGTGGGATGGGGGGTTGGGGGGTGGGAGGGATACTGGGATCCGTGGTGGTGGGAAATGGGCACTGGTGGAGGGATGGGTATTTGATCATTGTATAATTGAAACCCAAGCACAAAAACTTGTAAGTCTACAATTGTACCTCATGGTGTCTCACTAATAAAAATTAAAAAATTAAAAAAAATAAGCATATCATAATATACATATGATCATGTACACCTCATTCAAGAAGCCAGTAGTGAAAATTTTAATTATATGCACAGTGCTTTAGTCTTTCAAATAAGAGATCTTTTTGACATTTTGAATAACAATGTTCATTAATTATTAATGACAAAGGCATAGCAACACAGATAATTTCATACTTGTCTCATGAAAATGAGACAAATAAAAAATAATAATTTACCGAAAGTATGATATAGATTTGACACAATTCCTTTGATCTCTGAGTGCAGAGCCAGGAATAGGTCCTGGAAACTGTGGAATGTGGCTAAAAAACAAGCAAACAAAAAAAGTTAAAAGTTTCGAAAGCAGTTGAGGATAAAGAAATAAAACAATAACTGCTTGACTCTTTATGGAATAATGTGGTAATTAAGACTGGGAGAGTCAAGTGTTTACTGAAAGAGCAAATAACTATTTGTCACTGACCTTATATTTATAAGATCCTGAGTTCAATTCCTGGTTTCCTGGGACACAGACTCTTTTTTTTCAGCCCCCACTCCTTCTCCACAATAAACAAAACATGAAACACATGCTATATGAGTTATGCTCTAAGACTAGATTCTGTTCCCTGAAGTTTCACCTTTGATATAATACTAGATTTGGGATTGCAATAGAGTTTAAGAAATCCAATGCCATATTTTATGAGACATACATATACGAGTTGGGTAACTAAGAATTTATCACGGATTCTTTAAAAATAGTATTTTTTTCCTAGGAAGATTCATAATCAACTTCCAAATCTGAAATGTAATCCTCTTTATGCTTGTGTTGCAGGTGACCTATGCGAAGGAAATAGAGATGACAGTCTCAAGAGGGGTGTCTACCACTTTCTCTACCTACCTTACTTATAAATAGAAAAGTGCCCAAAAGATTAGGACTGATAAAATTATGCTATCAGCACTGCCCAGCACAAATCTTAAATCTCACTAACCAAATAAAGCTGTTGTCAAATCTCACCCCAAGTCCCACTTGTTCTACATGGGATATCATCTCAACCACCTGATTTCTCTGGGAGCCATGGGACTCAGACTGGAATGAAAACTGCTCTTTGAAAGAAAGTAAAGTCAGGTCTAAATTCTAGCCAGGTTTTTCCAGGAATGTGGTTTTCCTCACAAAAAAATAATGACAGGAGAAGATGAAGAGTGAAGTAAGACAGATTTATTTAGAGATTACAAGGAATTAGAGGTAACATGGGCTTCTCCAGAGGGGAGAGTTGAGAATTTCTTCTCAGGTTGAGACACAGGTCAATCCCACCTCAGAATGAGGATCCTCCCCGCTTGCCATTGCATAGTTGGATTTATAGGTTTTCTCCCAAACTGCACCCAGATAAAGCTTTTAGTGAAGACGAGTCTATTGCTAAAATGTTGTCCAGGAAAACTTGGAGGGCATACAGCTTGGAATTTTTGGTGGTCATACTGTTTGTTTTCATCATAACCTTTTTCTTTTAGTTCAAGTTTCTTTCATCATGATCCAGCATTCTCTGGGCAGCTGCTGGTACCAGGTAGAGTATTATCAATCTCAGATCCTGTGTCCACAAGAGGGTCTGGCCTTAATGTGTTTGATTAGTCTAGGACCAGAGACAGAGTATCTTTAAAATTCTATCATTGTTTTATAATGACCTAAAACTCACGGTGAGTGCCCCACTGTCTATCTGCCTACTTCACTTGGACTTTTTTCATGTTATTAGGAATAACTTTATAAGAGTACAGCTTTATTTACAATGCCTAAAAATCGATGACAGATGACAAGTGTTGCACAGGAATAAAATCCAAATATGCCAGGTGGGGTAATAGGAATCCACAGACTCACATTTATAAACTTATATAGACATATGATTGTAATTGAAAATATTACAAAAACAATTAGTGACCAGAAGAAAAATATCACTTGTCAAGAAAAATATGAACTCTAAACTGCAGCTCTTCAAATTTACATTAGAAATTTATGACAATATTCATCCTTTGCCCCCTTGATAATATTTACAGTCATAATTTTTACTCTCCCATCAAATTCATGTTGTTTGGTCAAAAGTAAACTTAAAAGCTAACCTAGTACTCTTTACAGGCATTTTATAGTTAATATATAGAAAAAACAGCTATGGATATATAAAGGATGGATATTTAAGAATGAAAACTGTGTGTGCCTTCAAAATAGTTGAGCAATTTTCTCAGATCAAATATAATATTGTTAGGATCATAAATGAACAATACATAACAAAATAAGAGCAGAGTTTGAGTCAGTTTAGAAAATAATCATGATTCTAATAATTTCTTAATTTTTTATTTTATGTATTCATGTACTTACATGTACTTAAGATTTAAGTTCTCTTCTGGCTGGAACGATAGCACAGCAGGTAGGGCATTTGCCTTGCACGTGGCCGACCCAGATTAGATTCCCAGCATTCCATATGCTTCCCCAAGTACCACCAGGAGTAATTTCTGAATACAGAGCCAGGAGGAACCCCTGAGCATCGTCAGGTGTGACCCAAAAAGAAAAAAAATCCCCCCCTGCCCAAGAAAAAGATCACGTTCTCTTAACACTCTTATTCCCGTGGTGCCTCTCTTTTAGCTATTACCCAGGCCTGTCATTTTTCTTCCATAGTAATTTCAATCTCTCTGTATTCCAATAATGCATATTTTTGAGGGGTGTCTGGGACACAATAATTCTAAGGGCTAAATCTGGCTCTCCAGGAGGAAGAAAACTACTGTTGCTGCTCCAGGGACAATATGGGGTTCTTGGGATTGAACCCAGGGTGGCTTCATGCAAAGTAAGCACCCTGCCTGCTGTACCATCGCTCCAGTCACAACACCATTATGCTTAAATAAGCCTTCACTTAAGATTACTTTTGAATGTTTCTCAAACCTCCAGCTTGATATTTCTTTCTTTTAATATTTGATTTCACCATATCACACAAATATCTGTGCTTCTTTAACTAAAAATCCAAGCTGAGAAAATGCTTTCTTTCATTATAGCAAACTGAGATTACCTGAGCATCTATACTTAATTAAAACCTGACATTTGCTTTAGCGATTATTTTACAAGTGCATTAACAGGAAACTGATTCAATAAGCATTTCATATAGTTATCAATATTCATGTTTATTATGTAAAATTTGACTGAAAACTAAGTTAAAACAAAACTGTGAAGAAAGCAACAAAAAATATTTAAATTTTTTAAAAGTATTTTTCCCTGGGCTGGAGCGATAGCACAGTGGTAGGGCGTTCGCCTTACAAGCGGCCAACATGGCCGACCGAGTTCGATTCCTCCGCCCCTCTCGGAGAGCCCGGCAAGTTACCGAGAGTATCTCGCCCGCACGGCAGAGCCTGGCAAGCTCCCTGTGACGTATTCGATATGCCAGACACAGTAACAACAAAATCTCCAATGGAGATGTTACTGGGCCCACTCGAGCAAATCGACGATCAACGGGAGGGCCTTTACCTTTACCTTTATTTTTGACTGAAAGTCATTTTACTAGTGAATAATAAGATAGAGTTTTTAAAGCTAAGTCTTTTACTTTCTAGTAAAGAAATAAGACTTATCTTTTTTTACTTCTAAAGCTTCTTAAATAGTACCATATTCCTTCCTCCATTTCTGCTACTTTTTGGTGACAATGGTATTTCTTTTCATCTCCATGTTCCTTTATAAAATTATTCCTGTAAGCTAAATTTCAATACTTAGTTACTGTGTATATTTTTTGAAGGTTCTCCCTGATGCATCTGCTTAGGATTTTAAATTTTGATGGCAATTTCTCTGTGCTTATCTTCATGTTGGCATATGACAGTGCTTCTGTAATCTAAATTCCAGTAGTTAGTAATATTAGTGTACTTTTTTGGGGAAGAAGAGATGGATGATTCCCTGACGGATCTGCTTAGTCTTTACACTATAAATGATGGGGTTCATCACAGGGGGGGCTAACAGATAGACATTAGCCATGATAACATGGAGTAAGGGAGATGCATGTTTGGCAAATCGATGAGTCATAGACACTCCAACCATAGGAATATAAAGAACCAGAACAGCTAGAATGTGGGACAGACAGTTATTGAGAGCTCTCAACCTCTCATTCCAGCTTGCTGTGCCCAAAATACTTTTCAGAATCATTGCATAGGACAACACAATGAGTAAAGGGTCCATTCCAACAATGAGCAAAACCACCACCAGTGCATACCAACTGTTGAATCGGGTATCAGCACAGACCAGACGAATCATATCTTGATGAAGACAGTAGGAGTGAGAGAGAAGGTGGGAGCGGCAAAAGGGTAGACGCTTGAGTAGGAAAAGAGAGGGAAGTACAGCCACAACACAGCGGAAAACGACGACTATTCCAATCCTGCCAATGACTTCGTTAGTGAGGATGGTGGCATAATGTAGGGGGCGGCAGATGGCCACATAGCGGTCAAAAGACATGGCCAACAGGACAGAAGATTCCATTAGGGAAAATGTGTGTATGAAGAAGAACTGGGCAAAGCAAGCTTCAAAGCTGATATGCCGGATATTGAACCAGAGAAGCTGCATGACTGTGGGCAGGGTGGTGAGGGTGAGGCCCAGGTCAGTCAGGGCCAGCATGGAGAGAAATAGGTACATAGGCTGGTGGAGAGACGGCTCTCTACGTATGGTGGATAAAATGGTGGTGTTGCCCATGATGGAGATGGTGTAGATACAGCAGAAGGGAATGGAGATCCAGATGTGGTAAGCCTCAAATCCAGGAATACCAGTGAGGATAAAGTAGAAGTTGGTATTTGTGGTGTTAGGAATCTCAGACATAACCGATGACTGTGTATCCCAAATCTGTGTTTCACAATAAAAATTTTCATTAGCATTCTGCTATTATAGAGACATATTCTATTTTGTCAAGAACTCAATTATGAACATGGAAGAATTTTTTAAATTCCTGAATAATACAATATCAACAACACTAACAAATGGAACTATGAATTCTTCTGTCATAAACTATGTAAGTGACCTTATTTTTTTAAACTTATGCCCACCTCTGTGCACCAAATTCAGCTTTATGCTTTCTGCAACACTTTTGGGTTTGGGTCCACTCATAGCTATACTCAGAGATCACTCCTGGTAATGCTGGGTGACCAAGTGCATTGGAGACTTATTTTAGTCTATTTCTAGTTGACATATATTTCACTGAATAGGAATTTAGAAAATGGGAAGAATGATGATGTTCACATGTTTATTTGAGTAACTACATGTGTTGCAGTGATCACTTTTATCTATAACATCATAGATTAATTTATACTACAGTAAGATAAGACTCTCAGGAAGAGATACTCGATAAGGTCTATAAAAGATAAACTATACTTTCTCCAAGGGGGTAAATACAGACTCATTAATTATAGATTTTTCTGAAAATGAAATGTTAGAATATTTTATGAATATTTATGCATATCACTTAATGGCTAAGTAGAATTTATATACCAAAGTCCCCCTAAAAAGTTCATAAATGCCACACTAATTACTCCTTGAAAATTATTAAGCTTGGGGATCTATAGAAGAATACTAATTAAATAAAAATGGTAAGTAGGACAAAGAGAAAATAATTTTGAATTTATTTTAAATTTGAAAAATAAGTTAAAACATTAAAATTATTTATATGAGAGAATCAAAACTGAAATGTTCAGTTGTAAAAGCAGAAAAGAAGAAAATCCTAGAGACAAGTGGTATTGTCTACAAGCACTGAGTTGGGCCATACTCTGTCCTTGTCTTGAGGAAAGGGCAATGCTATTGGATTATCTAACTGGACTTTATTTGAGATGTAATCACTTACTGCAGTTTTGCTTTGATTCAGGCTCTACGTAATTTGACTCTATACGTTGTATTTTGACTGTCACACATTTTTCACACATATGATATATCCCTTTGTTTTCATACTTTGCTGATGCTTGGTTTTCATAAAGCACAGATCTCTAAGATATAAACATCAGGTAGATTTGACTTTGACAAAATCACGCCTGTGAGCTAACAAATTAACACTTCAAAAGGAAGTTACTGCCAGAAAAAGAAGGAAAAGCAAAACTATCACAGTTATGTCATGATATATTAAGAGAATTCTTTAGAGTCAAAGCAGATATTCTGTTAGAACTTCGGATACATTTTCGGGTCTTCACAGGTCATCCTGCTGTGGTTAAATGCTGCTTAGGAAATTCATGTTTATTGTTGTGGGTGGCAGAGTAGGAGAGGAAACAGTGGCAACAGGAACATTTTTTGCAAAGAATTTATTGTATGTCAGATGTTGCTCCTAAAACTTAGATTAGCTGACTTAATAATGTCATAATTGGGGTTGGAGAAATAGTACAGTGGGTAGGGTGTTTGCTTTGCACATAGCCAACCTGAGTTCAATCCTATATGGTGATTCCATAAAGGATGGGTCTGTACTTAGGCTCTGCACTCAGAAGTTATTCTGTTATCCCAGTATCATGAGAACTGCCAGGAGTGATTCCTGAGTGCAGAGTCGAGTTACCCCTGAGCATTGCTGGTTGTGGTCCCCCACTAAATATATATAAATATATATGCAAATATGTATATGATGGAAGAAATACTCTATCAGTTATTTTATAGTTTGAACAAACCCTTAAATGAATAGAAAGGGGGAGAGAATTTATAAATTTACACCTGTGAGATATGATGTTCTCCAGTCCACTTTTGGCCCTGAGTGTAGATCCACAGTTGCAGAAATGGTGGGGACTGATCTAGAAAAGATGAAAATAGAGAAAAGTCTTGGAAGATAAAATAGGACCACCCAAAAAGTTTAAAGTCACAGAGAGGTTGGAGCAATAGTATAGTGGGTAGAGTACTTGCTTTGCATGTGTCTGACCAAGATTCAATTCCTGGCATCCCATATGGTCCCCTAAGTCCCACTAGGAGTAACCCCTGAGCACATTAAGTGTGTCCCCAAAACTGAAATAGAAGGAAAAGGATGTGAGTCAGAGTAATAATACAGTTTTTGTTTAGAATTGAGCACAACCAAAACAAGATTAAATTAAATTAGAAATTACTTTTTTTACCCCAAAAAGAAACTGAAGAGATATGTCTGTGAATACTGTTGAGTGTGTGCATATTTATGGGTGTTATGTGTGTGTATGTGTGTGTGTGTATGAGAGAGAGAGAGAGAGAGAGAGAGAGAAAGCGAGAGAGTTGGACAAGAAAGATGACATAAATGCACCACTGCAAAGTATATCAGACACTTATTTTCTGTCCCAAGCCAGATCCAAAGCCAATGTATGTTGAGGGGAAAAAAAGTGAAAAGTTTTAGTATCTGTAAAAAGTTGATAATAATTTTATTCTACTGCAATACAGTCGATATTGGTCTCTGAGGCAACTCTAACTTTCAAGATAGTCACTGTCCTGTCACTGTCCTCCCATTGTTCATCGATTTGCTCGAGTGGGCCCAGTAACATCTCCATGGTGAGACTTTGTTGTTACTGTGTTTGGCATATCGAATCCGTCATGAGGAACTTGCCAGGCTTTGCCATGCGGGCAAGATACTCTTGGTAGCTTGCCGGGCTCTCCCAGAGGGGAGGAGGAATTGAACTTGGGTTGGCCATGTTGGCTGCATGCAAGGCAAATGCCCTACTGCTGTGCTATTGCTCTAGCCCTTCAAGATAGTAACAATTGTTATGGCTTGTATGGATTCCTGATTTAAATGAAGAAATTGTTTATTTATATATTTAGTTTTCTATGCTTCTATGACTTGTGTGTTAGGTCTGCACTCATTAACTGGTAAATATTTTGTAAGTCATTTCTTTATTATCACATAGGCTATTATTCTCACAAGTAAAAAGACAGTGTAATTCACACGTCTCTGTTTGGTTCTTGCTTCCTTCTAGTCATTCTTCATTTAAAATGCTTTTATTATGCCCTTGAAACCCTCTTTCTAAAATATTGATGATCCATTTGCAAGATAAAAGAAAGGATAAATAAAAGTAGGTAGGGAGGGAGCACACCCAGAAATTGCCAATTTTCAAGGATTTATTGATAGATCTGTTGGCATTTACCAGCAGGCACTGAAAACACTTCAGTTTTGTTGACTGCAGGTTTGATTTGGTGTTGAGACAATAATTACATTAAAGCTATTTTTAATTTCAGTTCAAGGATAGTGATAAATATATCAATGAACTGCTTTCTTTCATGTCCCTTGACTGTCACATTCCCCCATCCCAGGCCCACAACTTGGCAGTATGTCTCTAAACTGGGTTGACTTTTTTCTCTTCCTAGTCTTTATGGACTGTCTCCAGGAATCTCTGCCCAGGTGTCCACCTTCTCTGATTATTGATCATCTATGAAGTGGTCCAAACTTACCTTTATGTTTTCTTGTTCCTTTAGTGTTCTTTTTAGATTCTATTCTTTGTTCTATGCCTCAGTGTGGCTATATGATCTTTAAGATCCCTGTCTTAAACACAGGAGGCAGATGGGGAAACCTCAGGAAGCATCTTATATAAGGTTGTGTATAGAGACTTAAGACCCCAAGGGACAGAATCAGGAAAGTAACAGTTATTGTTAATGTAATTATTTAAGTCTATATATGTTTTAATGTATAATTATTATAATAATCTTATGATATAATTAGTATTATTATATTACATAAATATAATATTACAGACAGTGGACAGTGCTAATATTACATAAATACAGCATATTTATATATGTTACATAATATATAATATTTACTGTGTTTGGCATGCAGCAGTAATCGAGTTAGGGTTTTGTTAGATGACATGAAAAAGACATTGTGCATTTTGGGTGCTATGGGAGCCCATATGTTTCTTTTCTAACTTTATTTAAATAAAGGTTTACAAAGTTTATCAGAATACAGTTGTTTTGAGCATTCAGTGTTTCAACACCAATCTCATCATCAGTATGACATTCCCTACACCATTATTCCAATTCTCTCATCCACCAACCACGCTTGTCACAAAATAATTTATCATATATTGCTTATTACAACAAAATGGCTAGTGGAATTATTGGAAAATACTTCAGTAAAAGAAAATTTGAGAATATTGTTATATCTTACAATAGGGTCATTAAAGTCATTTGCTTGGGGGTATATTGAGCTATTTGTTACTAGTTCAGCCTTCTGTGATTTTGTTTTTGTTTATTGAGCTTATTGGCTTCTATGCTACTTTCCCATCTAATTTGGTGTGCTCCTACTGGGTTGACAAACAGTATCGTAGAATTTGGAGGCATTGCACATTCTTCAGGAATTCCAGTATCTGTAGAACTGGGAAATTTCTCGGTCTGCCCCACTCCCAAGGGACCCCTAGAATTTTCAGCTTTTAGACATAGATGGTGTGTTTCAACAGCTTGGCTTTCATCTCTATTTTGAGATAAACTGAGAGACTATGAAGCTGGGCCAGTGTTTACATGGCAGAGGCTACGGGATGTAGGTGTGGCTGCTGAGCCTTTAGGCTCTACTGGAGTGAGGGCGACCCACTCCCACACAGAGAACCCAGATTTTTCAGACCAAAACCTGGAGAACCTGGAAGTTTCCTCAGTGTGGCATCTCTGTAGAGGTTAGTCATGAAGCTGTAAAGCTAATTTGCATGGTGGTGGCTGTGAGGTATAGGTCTGCTAGATATTTTTTCTTGTGATAATTCCTTTTTGTTTACTACAACATGATATATGTTTGTTTGTTTGTTTGGGGAGTCTGCACCTGGTCTTGTTCAGTGCTACACAGCGGTAGGGTGTTTGCCCTGCACGCAGCCAACATGGCCGACCCGAGTTCGATTCCTCTGCCCCTCTCGGAGAGCCCGGCA